CAAAATGGACAGTGGCCATGATGTCTTTCCCCTCTTTTCTTGCTGTTTTATCGTTGAACTCCCCATCTCTAGAGCCATATCCTACAGAAAATCTCAGGGTGGATAATAGAAGGAGGAGGGAGGAGGAAAATTTGATTTAAATGTCTCATGTGCAGCCAGGCTCCTACAGCAGAGGGAATTCTGGAAGCATCAAGCAAGTTCTCTAGCCCACAGGATTGTTAATAGGAATAAATACCTGATAACTTCTCCAAGAAAGTGAAGATATTGGAAAGCAGTTTATGCCACCCTTGGAGTGAAGGAAAAGCCAAGAAGGATTCTGAGAGCTGCAGCAGACAAGAACTGGTTTCCAGGAAATTCAATTCAACAAGAAGAACAAGGCTCTTGCATGAACAGAACTGGATATGGTCAAATCCACACAGACAAGGTATGGAACAAACAGCATTGCCTCCCCCAATTGTCTGAGTACTTGGAAAAGGATAACCAAAAAAAAAAAACCTGAAGATATGAAGTGGGCACTGAACAAAATTTACTCTGATTTCAAAGCATTGCAGTTGAATTCCCTCCACAAGAGGCTATTACTTAAACAAACAAACAAACCAACCTAAAACCCCCAAACAAGCAAAAAAAAAAAAAAAAAACCCAACCAAATAAAGAAACAACAACAGAAAAGGGCAAACTGCCATCCAGGCTGAAAAATCAGAGAAAGCACCAGGCCAGCAAGAATAAACTCCTACCCTAAGGGCAGACAAAAATCAGAGAAATGAATCTGAGCCCCTGACTGCACCTCGTGCTGCTCATGGGCTCTCAGAACTTCTGCTGCTCAGTTTGGGACAAATTTGAGCATTTGAATTTCAAAAGTGATGAGCTTCTTCCCTGATAAATTCAATTTTCACCTACAGGGTTTTTTTGTGCATATTTCCCCTTTCATTCTTTATTTTAAGCATCTGTATAATCCTGTTAAAATCATTTGGGCTACTGAGGTGCTTTCAGTCATGAAATTAAATCTTTCCAGGGTTTCAGTCAGAGATTTTTGGGAGGGTGGTACACAGGAAGTGCTGGAAGTGAATAAAGAATTAGGAGTTACCATTTCACAGAAACCAATAAAGCCATACCCATCATGGCAGAAAAATAAACTCCAGAGAATTCATTCTTAATACTGAAAATACCCACTGAAATCTTGCAACACCCAATACAGGTTGGTACAAGTTTTTGTGCAGAAATTTTAGCAAACAAAACATTTGTTTAGAAAAGAAATTTAGAAAACAAAAAGAATTTAGATTCTGCTTTCAAGTTTTTGACTCTATATGAGTGCTCTAAATAAAAATTCTAAAAGTAAAAAGAAAAAAGCTAAATCTATTATTCTCAATTTTTTTTTTTAGGAAAAAAGAGAAAAAATGTAGATATAATACAATAAAAAAATGGAGATAGAACTTATTATTCCATATGCCAACATTTCTGTTCTAGAAAGAAATACCAGAATTTTATTTATTTTTTTTTTTAAATCAACACTTCTAGTGAGACATTAACACACTTTTTAGGTTATTAACACTAAAGATGAAATGTATTTCTTTCAAAATAAAAAGAGACACTTCTACATTTCTATATACTCAGATATGAAATGCTTCTCATTATCATAAAACACCAACCTAGGAAGAAAATGTGGGAAACATAATTTTCCCATATTTTTGGAACTTCCCTAATAACCAGAATTTCCCAAAGGAATAGTTAGGCTGTCTCTAGTAATTAACTTTGTAGAAGAAAACCAACTTAGCAGATTTAAATCCTGGGAAAACCACGCCAAGAGCCAGGATTAGTTTGGCAAAGGGACAAGAGGGTCTCAGTGGCTCAGGTCAGGGAAATGAAGAGTGAGTGCTGGAGGAAATGAGGATGACTGGATATTTACAGAATTTACCACTGTTGGTATCAAAAACTGAATTTCCAGTGTGCCATCAGCTGAACATTTCATGTCTTGCCACCAAGTCTCACACCACACATCCCTGACTAAAAAAAAAAATTACAGATGGAAGTGCTGGAAGTGATTGGTAGTGGGGATTGACTGCTGAATTTTGGATTAGTTCAGTTAGCACAGGATTTAAATAAATCTCTTGCTGCTTAATTCACCAAGGAAAGAATGTTCAAAAGGAGCTGGTCAGAACTGAAAGGAAAAAAAAAAAAAACAAAACCAAAAAAACAAAGGCAAAGCATGGCAGGTGAAACCATGAGCCAGAAGCTTCTTCCAAACCTCTTATGACTGCCCTAGTCCTGGATAATTCCATCACAGCTATTCATGTATAAGTGGGTCTGAGAATTACCACAGGACACTCAGGAGTGAAGAATGAGGCAGTTATAGGAGGAAATTAAACAAGAAATATGAAATTAAACAAGAAATCTTTCTCTGTACCTTTGTTTGAAGTGTACCTGCAGGCTTGCCTGGTTTGGGGGAATGTAGGGTCAAAAGTGGAGGCTGGGTTAGAGAATGAAAGGAGCATTTTATTACTGCTAGGAAAAGGTGATTAAAAAAAAAAATAGAGAAGATAATGAAATCTCATGGTTCAGTAGGGAAGTTTCCTATGGGACTTTGGGAATTATTCTTGTGCCAAGGTCTCTGTTGTTATGCTCTTGGTTAAACAGTCATAGGACTCCCCCCAACACTTGTGAAATATTAGCTCTAGACCCAAGGAAAGAAGAGGTATTAGTGCTGTTTAAAGTATTTACTGCACTGTGAAGGCACATGGAGAAAGTTCCCAATTCCTCTCCCCTCTCATGTCAGGAAACACTGAATTTGAAGTTGGAATCAAAACTGAGCAGAAGTATTGGAAATCATTTAAAGATGAGGGCAGGAATGAGGAAGGTTTACTAATCAAACATTTAAAGATGAGGGCAGGAATGAGGAAGGTTTACTAATCAATCATTTAAAGATGAGGGCAGGAATGAGGAAGGTTTACTAATCAATCATTTAAAGATGAGGGCAGGAATTGAGGAAGGTTTACTGATCCCTTTTTGAGGTCTCATGCAATCAGGAATACAAAAGTGAGCATGACTGGATGAACCACGTCAGCTTCACGCTGCTGTTTTTCAATTTTATTTTAGAGTATGGTACTGTGGGAGTGCAAAAACTCAAATAAAAATGGAATAAGAACTCAAAGAAAAGTACAATATAAGAGCTGTTAAAGAAACCAGAGGCCAAACCTGTTTCAGGATTTGCCTTGTGGCAATGAGGAGAAACAACCAGCACTGAGAGCTTCAAATTTTGAGAGAGCCTGAAATTTGTGACCTGTAAAAAAATGTGATATCCCCGTGTTCCTGTGCTCCAAATAATGTTACATTTCATGGAGGTGCACACGACTCATAAGAACAATAGTCATTGATAATGTGATTAATAGATTTTAGTGATTAATAAATCACTAAAACATTTATACTGTATCTGCTCATTTGCAGAGGCAAACAATGATTGTCCCGTGGTGTTTACAACCTGCTCTTAGGTGGGAGAATCAATTTTCCTAAGGAATCCTGAGGGCAGTCCAGGAATGGAAATTGTAATTGTGTGATTTTATTCTGTAGTTTAAAAGCAGCACACTGCATGGAGAAACAGGAAAAGAGGCTGCTGTTTGTGGAAGGGAATATACTTTAAATTTTCACAGACTTAATAAGAAGGTGTAGCATAACTGAGCTGCAAAACAGCAACATTAATATTTATTTTTATTATTGCTATTACACCATTTAAATTTGGTTGTCGTGTCCCCTCCTCTTATATTTGCTTCATCCTGTCATTCACTCAACTAAGTGATTTTTTTTTTTTTTTTGTTTATATAAAATTACAACTCGAGGAAATTCCTGCTAGGTTCCAACAGGAGGTTTGTTGTAGAGAAGGATGCAGCACTTGACAAGGAGTGTGCATGGGTGTGTTTTTATTACTCTGCTCTGATTTATTCTTTCCACAGCAAATAAGGAGGATTAAGGGTGCATATCTTGAATGATGGATGATAATTCTAAGCACAGCAAGTAAATCTTTTGACTGCCTGACTTAGAAGTGCTTATTATCCTCATCAGCTCCCTCATATCAATACTCCCATGCTGTTATGTCTGTCTAACACACTGAGATAGTCTAGTGCAGACAGAGGCCAGATTAACTCAAAAAAAACAAAAAAAAAAAACCCCAAAAAACCCCAAATTAGCTCAAACTTAATTCTGATACTTGTTCTAGCAATTTTTAGAAAATATGGATGAAAGGCATACACACACTGCTCATCTGGCCACTGAAATGGATCATTCATCCATTCCTTACTGTGCTCTAACAGCTCCTTTGTGTTTTGGACATGCTGGCATTATCCTGTCCTTGTTCCCTTTCAATTCATTCCTCCACAACACGTTCACATTAGGAACTGGGATACATGATCACACTGCTTTATTTCTCTTTAGCATGACACAGCTCCATCACACCTACCAAGGTAATCAGATTTTTTGCAAAACAACCCCTGAGCTCAGTGTGGTTTGATGTGGAACTTCAAAAGGTAAGGAAAAAGTTTGCAAATTTACCCACAGAGGCATCATTTAATTATTCTCCATGTCTACTTGGAAACTTTGGTTCCTTCTCGGAATATGAGAAGAAAGTTGTCAATTAAATAGATATATGGACTGAGATCCATTTTAGGAACCCTCTTCTGTTGGGGGTAAAAAAAAAAAAGCAATGGGCACCACCAGAATTCTTCTGTTCTGGTCACTACTGAACGACATCATTCAAATTCCTGACCAAACAAGGATTTAAATTTTTCTTTTACACTGAGGAGGGATCTCCAACGTCTTTTAATCCTTTTCCACTCATTCTTGCACTTTTTAGAACTTTCAAGAAACAAGAAAAATGTGTTGTTTTGGAAAATACAGGAAGAAAAATAAAGAAGAAAGCATAATCTCATTTGTATTTTTTTTATGGGAGTTGATAAAGTTGTGAAATTTCAGACCACTGCTTTAAATCTTACTATAGAAACCATAGAGATACCAACCTTCTAATGCTTCCAAACATCTGTGCATGACCCAGGAATCTTCCAAAATCGATGTGGAACATGTGGCCAGCTTTTGTCAGCATGATGTTGTCACTGTGTCGATCACAGACTCCCAGGATGAAGGTAACAACACACCAGCCAGCACAGGAATAAAAGAAATTCCTTATGGCCTAGTGAGCAAAACAAAACCTCTTACATGAAATATCCAGATTTAGTTTTGATGGTAATTTTTTTTTTTTTTTTTTAAATATGATTTTACAAATGCTATGCTATTTTAACAGGTTCAAATTTTACCAGGCAATTTTGAAAAAAGATTCACGAGAAAGGTCTGAGTAGGAATGGTTTAGGGATGGCACTCAAACATTTCAAAGTTCCAGCACAAGAACGATTTTATGCATGAGGTTTTCACCTTGTGTTCCAAAGATACCTGGAAGCCTAAAGAAAACTTTAAGGCAAAAGGTGCTTAAGGAAAAAAAACAAAACTCCTTGGCATTTTCTGTTCAGTGTTCTGCAGGCATATTGCAAAAACAACCTTTAGGAAATGATCTGAAAATGCACAAATTTAACCATTTGCTTTGTAAAGGATGCAGGTTGTTCTACATCCAATGCACTGCTTTGTACTTACAATAATTTATTTTTTCTTTTCTCCAGAACTCAGTTCATGTCCCATGAATCTAAATCACAATGTAATATACATTAATCTAAATACAATGTAATATACAAACCCAAACCCTCCTAATCTGGATCTTACTATTTTTGGGGAAAAATTCACAAGGCAAATGAGTATTTAGGCTTTCAGGAATCCCCTGTGGATGCTGGGTCCCACCTGCAAAGGCACAGCTCAGGAGTTGGCTGAATTTTGTGTCTAACTCTGCTACTTATTCACTTCGATGACCTTGGATAAAACATTTCAGCTTTCTATGATTTTTGTTCACCCAACTGTAAAATGAGGATATTAAAGTTTGTTCTGGACCAGTTTTCTGAGCACCTTAGATCCAGTACTGTGTGAGTAAAACAATTATGAAGGAGTAAAAAAAGAGAAAAGTGCATTCACTGGCAAGCACAAAGGGAATGCACAGAAGTAATTTTATGCATACTCTGTGTAATCAGATCTGACTGCATTTTATATACTTAAAAAATTGGAAGAAATTGGATAGGAATTGGCTTTAGAATATTCCACATTAATGGTATTGTTTACAAACAGCAGCAAGAAATCAAGTTTTCAATCAATAATTAGCAGTACCTCACTTTTGAATTGCAATGCTGTCTATGCTTTCACTGTGAAACTGTAAACACAAAAACTTTTTTTTAAAAAAATCCCCATTCTACACAGATTGTTCCTGTTTAATAGAATCAAATGAGATATGAGGAATTCAAGTGTTCATTGTCAAAATGTGAGTGAGAAAAATGCCTTTGGAATAATTACAAAATTACTAAAGTTTACCTAATACACATCTACTAACAAACTCCTCTAAAAGCATTTCATTCTCAGGGTGCTAAATACTCAAAGCATTCCTTTAAATTTAAAATTTTGGCCACTAATTTATTGTTTGCCTGGAAAACAGATTATAAAGACTGTCCCAGAAACACAAAAATTGAAAATTTTTTCAGGGGCCCCTCAGATCAAACTCACCCAACGAGGGATTGATAGAAAGATTTCCTTGGAAAACCTTTGATTCTATAAATAAAATTTCCAATTGTTTGGTTCAGGCAGAACACTTATTTTCATCAAATCAGGTGCCTTACATGGGATCCCAGAGAACATGTGATATAAAAATCATGATTTTCTGTATTTCAGCTATGACTAGGTGGTTTTGATAAAGCAGCTTTCTGAAACTCTAGGTATTGGCATGGCTGTTCCTAAATACAGGAAATCTGCCAAAACTTTATATATTTTATATAAAATAAAAAAAAATAATTAAAGAGCTGACCAAAATTTTTTTTTTCTGAGTTCAAGACAATTTCTCTTTTAATTTCTCTTCACTTTCCTACTAAATTTCAAAACACCTCTGTAACACATTTTATAGAAAATGCAATACCATGCACCTGATAAAAAGCAATATTCCCTTAGACAGAGAGTGGCATTTGAGTGGATTCCCTGGTTTCTCTGCATGAGACTTGTTTGTCTCATGTCTGAGCCACTCGATTTTGCTGCCTGCTGTAATTTGGTTCTTTTTTTTTTTTCCCCCCATGGCATAGCATGAAATGTGTAATAAACTTCATGATGATGTTACCTCTTGGTAACTCGATTCCAGAGGATGGTGATGGTGAAACCATTTTTTAATTGTGTTTTCTTTCAGTGGTCCTATCAGCCCAGACTCCCTGTGGATCTTTGCTAGTGTGGTAGCATCTGGCACCATCTGTACCAGCCCTAATCAGAGGGAAAAAGAGTTTGCATGAAAAATCTTCAACTTGAAAAACACAGGAAGTCAATAAATGCATATTGCCTGTTGTTTGATCATTCCATGCAGAAAAAAAAAAACCCAAACAACCAAAAAAACATATTAAAAGCTTCAAAATAATGAATGCTGCAGAAAATATAGATGAGAATTGTTTTACTCTTGCACTTTGGAAATTAGAGATGAAGGGCACTGAGTGGAAAGGGGCAAGGAAGGAAGGAGAAATAAAATCATCAATAACAATATTGTGGATATAACTGTCTCAAAGTGAACAATTTATCGAGATTCAAAGTGGGTAGAACATGTACAAAACTAAAAAGAAATAAAAAGCAGGATCAGATATTTACTAATATCTATAAAGTTGTTTAATACACTTCTGTTGTCTAGAAAGGTGCAGAAATTATTCTGGAGTTTGTGATGCTGATCCCAGCTTGCAGAAAGGGGACAGGGCAGTGCAGGAATGATCCTGGTGCAGTTTGTCACAGGCTGGGGCTCTGAAGTGCAGAGAGAAGCCAAGCCCTTTGCAATGCTTCACCTGAATCCTCTGCTGCAATCCCTTCATTCCCTTTTTTTGGTCCTGAGACCTGAATTTCCAGCTCTCTGTGCCTGTCCCCAGGTGTGGTCCCCTGGCAGAACATCCCTGCACCACGAATTCCCCAAGAATTTCACTTGGTGATGGGCTCCTCTACTTCACCACGCCTGGAAAGTGCAATTCTCCTAATGATTTATTCAGCTTTCACTGAATTTCAGTGACAAGTGATTTCTGTGATTGCATGACCATGAAATTATCATCTCCCATCCCCCTTGTGTGGGAAAGAGTCATCACCTAGGACTTGGAAAACCTGTGCACCCAAACACGTGTCCTATGTGACCACTTGTTCTTTATCCCTAATTATTAACTCTCAATCAATTATCTTAGCACTGGTGGAAACTCATGAGGAAAAACATCTGGAAAAACTGAGAGACAATGGGGGGGATTTTTGCTGCTGTGATGCTGGAAGGAAGAGACTGTCAGGGACAGAATAAAATTTGCTGATGGTCCCTGCATCTCTCCTGGCAAACATCAAATTAAGCATTGGTGTATAGCAGAGTCTGTATATAATGTCATGTCCAGAAATAGTATTCTTGTATTATCTGCCTTTGAAGCAGAAGCTTTCAAGCTCTGATTTCCATCCCTACAAAGAAGGGAGGAGTTTTTTCCAGGTCACCACAACCACATGCCTTGTGCCTGAACTCATCTATACTTTGCTCTTATTTCCTTTAGATCGTTCCTCCTCTCTCATGTTCACTTTGTGGCTCAGAAAGCAATGATTTTCTTTTAATTTTTCCACTTTAATGGCTTTTGTACAGCAGGTAATCTGGATACATCAGCCTTCTATTTGAGCTAGGATTATTTCCAGTAGAAGATGTGGTCAGGGAAATATAACCAGCTTACTGCTGTCAGCAGATTTCTACAGCAAGCAATTGGTGTCCCTGCTCCAGCTCTGCTATAACAACCATAAAAGAGAGAAATAGAGCTTTCAGATGAGTCAGGCCTGCCCTAAGCTACATAAATCACAAGAATAATATTTCAAAATCAACAGCACAAAGCTGTCATCACTTGTCTGCAGGTACTTTCTGCAGCCACATGCATCTAGGCTCATTTAAGCATCTGTGTAGGACTACACTAGATTAAAATTTCAGTGGCTGTGGCCAATTTTCTCCAAAGCCCTCTTTTTGATGTGAATTTAAGAATGTTTTGCAAGCTGACAGCGTCGAGGCTTTTGGAAAAATCATCCCCTAAGTTGCTGTAAAATCCAAAGAGTTCTAGAGAAGCAGAAGGAATAAATTTTATACACCAGTGTTTACATGAAATATGAATAATGTAATACAGGCTCCTTTTGAAATTTGAGACTGACCTTGTCCTTTCCCTGTAGATAAACACCTATAAATGATCATTTGCATATCCAGTCCCTCTTGGAGCCAAATGTTGTCCATCACTCGAACAATTTGCAGAACCAACATATCTTGACGTAGATCATCACCTATCTGAGAGAATTGCACAAGAAATTCAGTTTTCTCCTTCAATACCAGACAGAAATAATGTCCTATTTCACTGGGACTTTTTAGGCCACCAAAGCAGCTGCATTCATTTCAGGAACTCTGTCTTGTTTTCCTTCAAAGTTCTCAATGATCTTTCTGTGTCAGAGAGGACAGAGTAGGTGGCACACACAGGCAGGAGCAGTTTTGAGATGCTACAACGACAAATGGTACAAAACAAATGATCCCTGCTTAACTTTGGCCTTTCTGCTTAGAATTCCCATGTAATTATTCGAGTTGGAAAATTTAATCCGGAGGTAGGATCCTAATTTAGTTACATTTTTAAAGTCTACTTAATGCTAGATCCCTCTGCACAAATGACAATGTTTGGCTAACACTAAGCCTCACAAAGTTGGTATTTGCAAGGGAATTTTATCACAAATTTACATTTTATCCATAACGTGATTCGTGCTCAGTTCCAAGCAGTGATGACCCCTCTCCCCATGGAGTTAGTCAAACAATAATCTCAGTGAAATGGGGCTTTAATTATAGCCATAAGAATTAATGAAGAGATTATTTTCACCCATGGCTGAGTAAATGGCCTGTGAAAACAACAGCCCTGATTTTTTGTTTCCCCATATCCACTCCATGTAAAATACATAACTTTTATTGTTATTTTAAGTGCTTTATTCTTTCATTACATTCTTTTTACACAAGCATTCCAATCTACAGCCATTTACTGCTGGGGAAAAAGAATTTGAGGGGACATAAATTCATTTTTAAAAAGACAAAATATCTGAATCTATTTTTCTCCCATCAAAAGGTAATCTTGACTCCAATTAATTCTTCTTAGCAAAAAAAAAAAAAAA